AGAAATCCTTTTTGTTGTAAATGACTGAAAATGAAAATTTGATATGACGCTGAAATAATAGTTATTTAAATAAATGACTACTTCTTGAATCAATAATTTGTTGCAAACCCTGAAGTTTTAAAATAATTTCTAAATTGAATTATATTTCAATGATACAAAGGAGTCGTTACATTTTAGTGGTATGTAAGACATACCTTCTATGCTATAGATTTTTGTTATCCCAAAGATATTATCAAATATTTAAAAAGTTTTAAGTTTCTAAAAGATAAATACTTTAAATTAGTTTTATTTTATAGCAAAGAATTAAATATTTATAACTGAAAAACTATTTGTCTAATTGTTTGTGTAATGTCTTAATTAAGATCTTAATTTAGAAATAAATATACATGTATTGCTTTTATTTTGAAAAACAATATAAATAGCCTAGTTTAAAAATACTTGTTTTATTATAGTTAGTAAAAATGCCAACAATTAATAATCACACTGGTGGAAATCAGACAACAGTAGTGTCGCTAATAATGTTACATATGTTTGCATTCATCGTATTGTGTAATTTGGGACTCTTTATAACGGAGACATCGGCCGCACAGAAGTTTTACCCCAACGGAAGGTATGGCCGAAGATCTGTTTTGCCTCCACTTATGTCACTGGATAATACGGACGATGCGATCACTTTTATAGGTAAACCCACTTACTCTGTAATACTGTTTATTCCTTCTTTGTAATTCTTTATAATAACAACCACTCTATAGGCTATTAGTGGTTATGTAGTGTATTGTTTGACATTCACTATATTGCTGTATAATCTCAATAATGATATCATAAACTACTGCATAGTTTATTGGCCTCACAATTGTTAAAAAGACACAATTGTTAAGAATAACTCAATTAACTAAATGCCTAACAAATTATGCTTAATTAGACTTCCATTGATTTGCATTATATTCTTACAAATGAGAGTTTATGTGAATCTTTGTGTTGGCGTTTTCCGCCAATTCTTTACTGTTTTCCACTTTCTTAGAGAAATTCCCAAACGATTCTTGTAGTGAATTGTTTAAAAACAAGTCGACTCTTTGCTCTTTACTTAAATGATTACTTTATGGACACCAATACCAATGAATTACTTTAATTCTATTCATAAAATAATTGTTTGTTTATTATTCTGATAAATTGAATAATCATTGCTTAATATAGCGTTTGAATAGAAATGAATGTAAAGAAAAGAAATTTAATGCAATGAATGAGAGGTTTGTTCACAACATTAAACTTTTCGCTCAATTGCTTCTCTAATCAAATAAATCTATTACTGAATCGATGGGAAAGAGTCGACACAAGAGTTACAAGAGTTTTATTTATTCCTCACAATTCATTCAACATCTGTTCTCTTGTGTATAATCTCAACAACTTTTCTATAATAGTATCGAATCTTTAAATTGAAACACGATTTGATGTCCAACTCAAGAGTTAATCGCAAAATATTGACAATATTTTCATTTGACTTAATATTCTATATAAAAAGTCCTAAACTTCTCTTATTATTTGATAAAGCATATCAATAGTGTCTATAAAATTAAAACATTATTGTTCCCAAAAGTATTTTTGGAATTTTATGTTTTTTTCAAAATCATCAATAAAACATTGAAAGGATTGTAAATTGGAAATGTTTTAAATGCCATAATTATATTAAATATAAATTCTAGAATAATTTTTAAATTTACAAATTCACATCTACTACCAATAATTATTATACTCTAGAGTCATTATTACAACATATTAGTGTAAAATTCTGACGTTTAATAGACTATTTATATATTTGTTCACTTTAATTTTTAAATTATATAAGTTATAAGAATAGAGGAATTCATTAATAATGAAATATATTTGGATTTTATAGGAAATATCGCACCGAATAATAAGCTACCGAAACGAAACCAAATGACAGACCAGACCATGACATTACTCTGTTATTATACGGGTGTTTCCAATCTATTGAGATGTACTCTCAGGTCCAGTATGATTTATACAGTATTTTCTATAAAATTATATATTTTATATATTTTATGTATTCAAACAATAAAATGTATTATAATATTATAGTATTTTGTCTGTCTATGACAATGTTCTTAAGCACATAATTCTATTATATATTTAAAAGAATACATGAATTATGAAATTTTAAAGTTAACTTATATAATCATGAACAAAATCTAAACTGAAATCATACAAATATGTAGGAATATAGATTTTATAAGTATATTATATTATATTGAATCTTATGAACTTGTTTATCTTAAATACAAAAAAATTGAATATGTAATTATCACACTATAAACTAAATGTCACAGCATTTTCAACAAAATGATAATAGTTTTAACAGAAAATGCACAATAGAAATTTTATAACGTTATATACAAATATTATATTTAAATTTATGTGTTTTCTAGAAAAACGTTACAAAAATGAATAATACATTAGAGACTTCTAGACTCTGTGAAAACTAAATACAGTAATTACGAAACACACAGAATTCAGTGAGAATATATCACTTATTACTTACAGTTTCACTTTAAAGATAAATTATGAATTCTTATCTGTTTATCAAAAATGAATTACTTATGGTTAACGCGTTTAACACGTTTATACCAAACAAACTTGTAAGTTATTGTAACCTAATACTCAGTAAACAATTGCTCTAATAATATAAATAATTCTTAGAAAAACTATTAAAACATGACATTTAAGTTTATTTAATAGAATTTAATTGTTTTAAAATGTTGTTACTCTTTATAATGTAAAATCTTTAAATAGAGTTGATATAGTTTTAGAAAATAATAAGTTTAATATACTGTAGTAATGCATAAATAAATTAATTAAATGAAATTCTATGACATATTACAGAGAGCCGTCATCCGAGGCATTGGAGAGAAGTAATAGCGAGAGTCAACAGTAATCAGTAATCAGTCAACAAATTCAAGTCTTGTGAACATAAAGTCTAAATTCTTGTCTTATATTCTATTCTCATATACACTATATTATATATACTGTAATAACTTTTGATCTTATATTATAATCAAACAAATAAATACTTAATTTTTGGTCTTCTTTTATTATCAACAAAAAAGACAATAACTTTGAATATTGTACTAAATTTGGTTCATTTTTCCAAGTTTTGGTTTCATTCAAAATGCATTCATATTATGGAAGTGAATATTCTTTAACTTATTTGTGAGACTTTTGTTGTCAAACATATAAACATTAAAATAAACAAAACTATTATTTAATTTGCTTTAACTTTTATATGTAATAAATAATTAAAATTATTATATTAAAAGTTGTGTTTGAAGGCATTTATTTGGGTGGACACACATATCATTGGAAAGTATTGCAACTATTTGGACACAAATTGCTTCTTAAATTGCTTGACATTTGAGTACATATTAGAAAACAAGTCACTTATATGTCTTTATATTACAATTGAAGTGCAATTAAGAAACAAAACTCTTGAAAATTGTGTCCATAATTCACAAATTTGATAAGACAGGAGTTTTATGACTTGTTTTTAAAAACCTTCAAGAACTAAAAAAGTAGAAATTTAAACCAATAGTAACCAATAGCTACCTTTAAATTTAGATTGTTATATTTTAAAAATTTACTTAAATACCGGTACAGTATGTGCATTTAATTTTCAATAATAAGTCCTAGAACAAAAATGAAATTAGTAGCCTATTAAGTTATATAATAATTGGAATCAATGTTTCGGATGTAGACAATATACATTAATAATTATTCTTGTAACTTTTATACTATAGATATCTTTGTTCACTAATTAAAGTAAATAAGTCTTATGTTAAGAGGATCAGTGAAAATAGTTTAAGTCAACATAGACCACAATTGTCATAAACTAGTTACATCACATGCTCTGACTCTAAACAATACGTTTTCAATTTTCAAATACTGGTTGTATTATATAACTTGTAAATTATAGTAAACCATTATACAGTATTACAGTATCCATTACCGTTTAAATAATGTTATAGAGTACAATACTGTAGTTACTTTATATAAATCGATATACTGTATTAACTTGTAAGATAAATAACAAAATTGATGAATAAGTTAGTCAAACATGTCTATTAAATGTTTATTTGTCGGGTTATTGAACACAAAATGAATGTCCATCACAAAATCACTATAAATAAGCACTCAATTTACTGTATAAGCCTACATTGGGTATACGGTAAATACTTTACTAATCAAAGGACTTAAATACATACCGAAATATTCTTATTAATAGTACCCTAGTACTGTATAGTAGTATAACTAACTAGACAAGTCAGATTAACATGCTAAAAATAACATAATACATACAGTAGTATAATAGGTATATTATTAACCTTAACCATTTTACCATAAGCACTAGTCTATAATATAGAATCTGTATTATAGATAGTTCAAATTGTGTTTAATTATTTGAACCCTGGTAACTTTAGTTATCAACATATTCGCACACATTAAAAGTGACCAAATCAATGAATCACAAGTTATACCGTATAAACTAACAAGTACAGTACGTAAGTTCAATACAAACGGTCATTATTATAGATTAAAAACTCATTTTATTATCCAAACAGTTGTCATTATGATTACAATTTATTTAAAAATCTTTCCCTGGTTAAACTTTTTGCCATCGAAGTTGCCCTCCCATGAGAAGTACTCCTTGACCATAGTGTGAGTCTTGGGATCATTTGGGTCTAACTTTTTCCAGTCGTAGGACTCGTAGTCGACCTGCCAGTCAGTCGACAACTGCAACAAACATCACATTCAATGCATTAGTGACAGTCAATCACATCCAATGCCCGAGTCTTACAGGGAAGGCGAGTTCGTGTCCCTTCCAGACCCATATGCCAGAGATGGAGCTATTGTGGTCTTCACCGAACAGAATCATACTCCCGAAGGCATTCTTCCGCATTTTGTCCAATCGTTGGTACATTCCTGTCATTATCACAATTAATATCGCATTCAATGCTATCAAAAAATGCCATTAATTACCAGCAATTAAGTTACAACTCATAAAAACGAGTGTCAATTCGTCGGCGTATTTATAATTACAAAACCAAATCGAGTAATTGTTTTTATCAAACTTCTCCCAGAAATACGGGATTGACTTCTCTTCGGGATTGTTTGAATAGAACCGCTTGAAGTCATCCATAACCCATGTCCTGCACACAGACACACATTATCACCAATTCTCAAATTTTTATCAATCATTTCAATGCAAACCCTTTGGGGAAGGCTTCGAAGGGGTCCTTAGCTTTGGGTTCTAAAGGCATGTCCTCGTCATCGTCGCCCAAATCTGCCGCCTCTTCCTTCTTCTCCTTCGGTTTCTCCTGCTTTGGAGTCTTCTCTTTCTTATCCTTTTTGGTCGAAGTGTCGGCTCTTTTAGCTGAAAGACAACCACAAAGTTATAAGCATTCAATTCATTGGCAAATGAGTGGACATACGGGCGGATTCGGGGGTTAAGGCTTTGTCGCAGAGCTTCACGTCTCCCAACACTTTCTTGAACTGCGGCTGATTTACAAGAGTAGTGAACCAACGGTTGACGTTAGTATAGGGCGAGCGCACCGACGGCTCCAACACGTACTGATAGAGGGGGAGGAGGGCGACGGCCACCGCAATGTCTGCTAAAGTGGTTCTCTCGCCAACTAAATACGTTCGACTCAATAGGAAATCATTCAAATAGTTTAATATCTTCGTGATGTCAGTCTTGGAGCGGTCGACGGCCTGTTTGTTGGCGGCAATGGCGCCCAACGCGGGCAACACCCAGGTATAAGCCGATGGGTTAATCTCGTTGTCAGCGAAACTCAACCATTGAATGACGAGCGCCTGATCTAAGGGTGTCTTTCCCTTCAGCTGATCGTTGGACACATAGAAAGCGATGGCATTGCTTTCGATCAGTGAGTGGCCGTCCTTTGTCTCCAATGCCGGCACCTGTAGGACACATACCATCACATCATTAGTCAATGCATTCATTCAATTCATGTCTTAATGGTTAATGAAATGTCAGATTCGATGAAATCTCCGCGAATCACATCTAACTCGAAGAGTAGGACCGAATCCAAGAGTGCTATGTCTCTCATGTCTTACGACTAAATCAATGGTTGATTAAGTCGTCTTCGGGAGAGAAGTGGACATAGTTTTGGTCACCAATGCAGCCAATGATACATACCTTTCCGAACGGGAACTTCTTGAGAAAGTCGGGCCGTGTGTTGGTCTCTCCCAACTGGAAGTCCTTCACCACATCGACAGCCACTCCACTGTATTGACTGGCAATGAGTGCTTTGAATGCACGCCAGTTGTTGTCATACGTGTATAGTCTCT